ATTGTAACCAACTGGTGTCCTTTCCTTTCCTTTCCCAATCCCTCAATTATAATACGAATGAAATAATGAACACAAACGAATAAAAGAAATCACAATAACCAAAAAAGCTTTTATCAAAACAGAAAAAAAAAGTCCTGGTTGTTAATTCTCAGAACATTTAAGCTTGAACTAACAGAACCTGTACTGCACTGCCTTCTACAACTTTTGAATATCATTGCATTATATCGCCACATCATGACATGCTCTTTTGATCTCAACGGTTGAGATGTCTGAAAACTTCTTGCCTTCTTTATCAGTTGTTGGGGTATTGTGTGTCTGTGTATTCTGTCCATGGAGAGTATATATAATATGCATTTTTAAAATGACAGTAGATCACATTAGCCACCTGTATGGATATTAGCAGGCATGCTTAGCTAGCAGCAGTCACTTATTAATAACAGATTATTTCTATGGTTAGACGACTGTCTTTTTCGTCTCACCCCTCTCTTTGTGTCTGTGATCTGTAGCAGTTCTATCATCATCATCATTATCATCACATTTCAGTAGAGCTTTTTGTTGCAATAGAACACATTAACATGTCCTTATGGGTTTAAACGTAATTTAGCAAGCATTTAAAGAGGGAAGCAAAGGTGGAATCAAATTCCAGTGATCAGTTAAGTTATACATATGATTCTATTTTTAACTTTCTGAATTTATTCTTTTCTTTTGAGTATGTGTGTTTGAGTGTGTGTGACAAAAATGTGATTTTTATTTTCAAATTATATTAATTTTGTTCTGTACATATTGCTCAATATCAGTATGTGTCGAGGAATCTTGCTTTGAGGTATTTATGATGGTGAATGCTTTTAAAATCTTACTGGTTTCGGAAGTGAGTATAAGGGATGTATGTTTTTTTTTTTTTTTTTTTTATTAGTGTGACAGTGTGTGTATGGGGGGCAAGTATAGGGGAAAAAATCTTTACACTCTGTTCAAAAAGTGTGGTGTCAGTAAGAAGTTTATGTTTTAAAAGAAGTCTCTTATGCTCACCAAGGATGCATTTATTTGATGAAATATACAGTAAAAACATTAATATTGTGAAATACTATATTAGAAATACTACTTTATTTTGTAATACTTCTGTGATGGCAGAGCTAAATATTCAGCAGCCGTTAATTCAGTCTTTAGTGTCACATGGTCCTTCAGAAATCACTCTGAAATGCTGATTTGGTGCTCAAGAAACATTTCTTATTATTGTCCGTTGAAAACAGTTGTGCTGCTTAGTCCAGGATTCTTTTATGGATAGAAGATTCAAAAGAATTCAAAACAGAATTTAGTTGAAATAGAATTATATATATATACACACACACACATATACATACAGTATAAAATATGTACAATGCCTTTACTGTAACTTTTGATTGATTAAATCTTTTTAAATCTTTTTAAAAATCTGACCCAAATTTGTGGTACTGTATGTAATTTTTATACAAATATTCTGTAGAGATTTTATTGGGAGTTAAGAATTTCTACATTTGGCAGTGATGTGTGTATATTTATTAACAAAGCATGTCTTTATATTTAATTTTTCTCTAATAACATTTTTTTCTTCTCTCCTATAAGATATCCGAATTTACACTTTAAAAAAGTACTATGGTATTTTCATGTTTTTTTTCTCTCTTGAAACCTTTTGGAAGGACAGAAAAGCATTGACTTCTGCCCTCTTTCTTTCTTTCTTTCTTTCTTTCTTTCTTTCTTTCTTTCTATCTCACTCACAGGACGAGGATGCAGAAGTCTAGAACCTACAGGAGGTCAGTAGTGAGGGATGCTGGGGGACAGAAGCAGGTGTGCGTGGAGCAGATAGACGATCGGTCTGAGCCCCATGACAACCTACAGCATCACCTCCATTACCTCATTCACCACTACTGTGCCCAAAACGACTGAGAGGAAGAGAGGGAGGAAGCTGAAGAGAAGTCCGAGTGATGGTTTCCCCCTTCATTTTCCTCTCACTATCTCCATCACTCCTATCTCACTCACAGGACGAGGATGCAGAAGTCTAGAACCTACAGGAGGTCAGTAGTGAGGGATGCTGGGGGACAGAAGCGGGTGTGCGTGGAGCAGATAGACGATCGGTCTGAGCCCCATGACAACCTACAGCATCACCTCCATTACCTCATTCACCACTACTGTGCCCAAAACGACTGAGAGGAAGAGAGGGAGGAAGCTGAAGAGAAGTCCGAGTGATGGTTTCCCCCTTCATTTTCCTCTCACTATCTCCATCACTCCTCTCTTTGAGACTGTCCGCCCTCCTAACCACTCCAATGCACCATGCTCATGCAATCCCAGAGTGCACTTCACTCCTGCCACTTTCAGTCTTCCTGTCCAGTCAAACTGGATGTTCGCCCAGTTTAAGTCAACAGACAATATTTTCTCTCTCCTTATTTTCCCCAGTTTACCACAAGTGTTTATCTGTTTGTCTTTCATTGTAACCAACTGGTGTCCTTTCCTTTCCTTTCCCAATCCCTCAATTATAATACGAATGAAATAATGAACACAAACGAATAAAAGAAATCACAATAACCAAAAAAGCTTTTATCAAAACAGAAAAAAAAAGTCCTGGTTGTTAATTCTCAGAACATTTAAGCTTGAACTAACAGAACCTGTACTGCACTGCCTTCTACAACTTTTGAATATCATTGCATTATATCGCCACATCATGACATGCTCTTTTGATCTCAACGGTTGAGATGTCTGAAAACTTCTTGCCTTCTTTATCAGTTGTTGGGGTATTGTGTGTCTGTGTATTCTGTCCATGGAGAGTATATATAATATGCATTTTTAAAATGACAGTAGATCACATTAGCCACCTGTATGGATATTAGCAGGCATGCTTAGCTAGCAGCAGTCACTTATTAATAACAGATTATTTCTATGGTTAGACGACTGTCTTTTTCGTCTCACCCCTCTCTTTGTGTCTGTGATCTGTAGCAGTTCTATCATCATCATCATTATCATCACATTTCAGTAGAGCTTTTTGTTGCAATAGAACACATTAACATGTCCTTATGGGTTTAAACGTAATTTAGCAAGCATTTAAAGAGGGAAGCAAAGGTGGAATCAAATTCCAGTGATCAGTTAAGTTATACATATGATTCTATTTTTAACTTTCTGAATTTATTCTTTTCTTTTGAGTATGTGTGTTTGAGTGTGTGTGACAAAAATGTGATTTTTATTTTCAAATTATATTAATTTTGTTCTGTACATATTGCTCAATATCAGTATGTGTCGAGGAATCTTGCTCTGAGGTATTTATGATGGTGAACGCTTTTAAAATATGTTACTGGTTTCAGAAGTGAGCATAAGGGATGTATGTTTTTTTTTTAAGAATTTTTTTTATTTTGATGTATTTTATTTAGATACTTTGTGTGTGTCATGAAACATAAGTGGGAATATTCTCTTTACGGTTCAAATAACAGGTTGGCTTCAGTTCAGAATATTGGGAAGTTCCTTTTTAACTGCAGATTAATACAGCTGTGTTAGCAGAGGTTGTTTTTTCCTGCTGACCCAGTGGTTGGGTTGTTTTGAACCCAACCGCTGGGTCAAAACAACCCAATAGCTGGGTATGTCCCTTTTTAACCCAGCGCTGGGTTATACTTAATCCAGCATTTTTTAGTGTATGCTTTTTTCCCCCTTATAATAATTTGAGTTTGGGAAACTGGCCCTGGAACAGCATTAAAAGTCATCCTCTAAACTGAGCAATGTCATTAATTTGAACAATGCTACTACTTTCACTGTGACTGGCCCACATTTGATTTACTGAATCCGCATTCTATGTCTGTGGAGATAAGAATATGCATATATATAGTACATAAATATCTATCCTTAAAGGCATGTATTAGTTTACTATATGACTTTTAAAAAAGACATTTAAACACTATACCTTGGCTGCAGTGTGTGTATATGGCTGAACGAGAATAAAAGTGTATAAGTGTCACGTTATGGTCATTATTTTATGGTTGTGTTTGAAGAGAAAATTGAAACATGACCATGCATACAGTACATATCACACATTTATTGAATTTTTCATTAAATATGTTGATTTGCTAGCGCCACCATGGCAACAAATTATGTAGTTCACATCCTCATATTGGCATTGAGGTTCTGTAAGTATCAGCAGAGGAAATGTTTTTAAGAAGAGAAAAGGGAACACGGAGAAAACGGAAAGCATGGTGTTGGCATAGTCCAGTAGTGGTGAGGCTTTTCCTCGAGGAAGACCGTTCCATTGCGACATCACCTTCTATGACATCAGCTTCCGATTAAGTGGCACACAGACACCAAGTCGCCACTAAGGGCAGTGTGCATGCTTGTAAATCAGGCTCCGCTCACTTGCGCTCTTCTTGCCAAGGGGCTAAAATAATGTCAGGGTAAATAAAAAGCACAAATATGTGTGAAAATGATACATGTAGTTTCTCATAAGCTACTTATATTACTTTTTCTCATACAGCCATGATATAAAGTCAAAGGATAATATTTTTACAGCCACTCAATATAGGAAAATTAAGCTACATAGATCTGAAGGTAGGGTGATACTTCTAGATATGTTGGGTCGTGATGATAAACGCTGTCATCGTTACCATATCAGATCCTTATGATATTGAAAGAAATAAACAATTTGATAAGGAAACTATGAATTACACAACATAAAACAGCATGGTCATTCAAAAAATAGTCCTCCATGCATTACCCAATGCTTGTCAATGTTTAATGTATCATATATGCTACATTCTCTTTGATATCTGTTTTTTTTCTCATATTCTATGACGTAAAGGTAAACATACAGTCCATATTAGTATTCTGCAGTTCTCTTAAATCAAGTAAAGTAAATCATAATCTTTAAGGAGCCAAACATTGTAAGCTAGCGAATATAAACAAAGCTTTTTGGCAGCATTTACTACAATTTTTAATTTTGCCGTAAACCAGAATTTAAAGTATGTGTTTTTAAAAGTTTCTTAAAGTTTTATTAAAACATTTTTATTTTATCATTTTTTTATCTGAACGATCACGACGTATGTACATCACCAGAACAATAGCAAGCTCAATATTAACATTCTTATCTTTCAAAATTTGATATATTGCACACACATAAATAGACATAAAAATACAGTACAGACTTGGGGAAAGGTGATTCTCTTTACATATCTATACATTTAAAATGCATACCAAAACAGCTTAAAAAAAAAAAGAAACAGAAAAGAACGTTAAAAATACACTCCTTTTAATACTGTCCATATATGCGAATGGCCCACGGGTTTTGGTGTAAGTGATGACCTTTAGCAAAATGCTTGAATTCTCTGGTCCATGTGCGGTAACATGTAAACAACCCTCGAGGGGGAGGGGAGAGGGGCGTGGTTGTTGGAAAGCAGGTGTGGCTTAGGAGACACACCTCCAGCTTGACTGACAAGACAGTTGGGTTTTTGCTGATGGTTTCTCCTCAGTTGGGAAAAATTGAAGCCTAATATTCCATTAACTACAAAACATACACACAAACAAACACACATCAATAACATTAATAAACATGATATTAAATTAGAATGAACAAATTCCACTAAATTATGAAGTCATGTTAAAGTAATGTATCCTTTTGACCGTTATTTCTCCATTTAGCGCAACTAAGCCACTAGGAATAATAACAGGTTTATCATGCTCAGGCCATTATTTCTGCATATGTGTCTTCAAATATACACTACCATTAAAAATTTATTTTTTATTTTTTATATGTCTTCTTTATGTTTTTAATTATTAAATGTATTTATTTGACAAAGAAACAGAAATATTGTTAAATATTATTGCAAATTAAAATAACTGTTTTCTATTTTAATATATTTTAAAATGTAATTGTTTTATTCCTGTAATGCAAAGCTGAATTTTCAGCAGCTAGGGGTTACTCTGGTTGTCAGTGTCACGTGATCCTTCAGAAATAATTCTCATATGCAGACTTGGTGCTCAAGAAACTTTTCTTATTATTATCAATGTTGAAAACAGTTGTGCGGCTTTTTATTTTTGTGGAAATCGTGATCATTTGTTTTCAAGATTCTTTGATGAATAGAAGGTTCAAAAGAACAGCATTTATTTAAAATAGAGATATTTTACAGTCACTTATGATCAATTTAATGCATGCTTATTGAATAAAAGTATAAGTATTTAAAATGTTGGATTTCTTGAGAGGTCAGACTCCGCAGAAACCTTTTCAAATTAAACGATAAAAAGCTTTTCATGCATTTTCCTTTGAATGACCCTTTTGTGATCAATATCATTATCGTATACATTAAACAGTAAAGATGCTCTATGAGTCTTACATGATGGGCACGCTGGGGGCTCCAGAGCGATGGAAGTGTATGTTTAGCCACTTGCCATCTCGACGGTGCCAGACACGGGTCTCCTCTGACTGCATGGTGCGTGGCATCCCACTGCCATCCATGTACTGGGTCAGACGGATGTACGCGATACATGCCGCATCCTCTCCGATCAGGTGCACATGGGGGTTCAGCAAGATAGTGTGTACTGGTTTATTACCTTTGGACAGTGCTAAAGGAGATGGCAGAAATACAGTGATCAAAATACTGTTGTAATCAAAACTCATCAGGATATTTTCTTTAAGTTCTGAGTGTGAAATGATATGAATCTAAATACCGTTCTCAAAGTAGAACCGGTGGAAGTCATGCCCCTCCACCAGATTTCCCAAAGCTTCTGGCTCAAAGGAAGTAAGGCCAGGATCGCAAATCTTTCTGTGAAAAAAAAAAGAGTAGAAAGTAAAGCTAAAAGTTTTAATTTGAGTGCAGACATTAGTCCAAAAGCATTAAAAGTCGATTTTAGACTGTTAATATTCAATGTGAACATGTCACATTTGAAGCTGTTATATAGTGAGGCTTGGTTTTAAATATAGACGGAGCAGACCATTAAAAATTATCTCAGTAATCAAGAGAAAATAAAAGCAATGCATTAGTGTTCTTAAGAGGGGCTACGGTTGTCATGGCGACAGGTTTGTGCGTTCACTCACGCGTAAGCCTCAAAGTCTCCGTTGTTGATGGATTCAATCAGCTGTTCGGTCACCTTTATGATCTCCTGCTTTCGAGCTGAAACACACGGAGATGTCTAGCGTGTGAGTCAGACACCCTCACAGCGTGAGAATCAAAATTATTAATCAACATCCCAACTCATTTCTGAATTTATGCAATCCAAAAAATGCAAACCTTTGTTTAAAAAGCACCAGACAAAATTTACAGTGAATCTTTATAGCTTCTGTCTTTGCAGGTATTAGTTGGCTTCAGGGCTGGGCGATTTATAGAATATTTGCTATGAATCATAAATACCATAATTATTACTTTTTATTTGGCCATTATACGTTTCTTAGAGAGTCTGTGATTAGACTAGTTTCACAATCCTTTTTTGTCTATACACTCTCAGAAAAATAAGGTACAAAGCTGTCACTGAGACTGTACCTTAAGGTACAAAATCTAAAAGGCACATCTTTTTACTTTATTTATCCCTAAATGATACATATTTGAACCTTAAATATACATATTACTACTTTAAAAGTACATATTAGTACCTAATGTGTATATATTAGTAGCTAAAGTAATGTACTTTTTTTTCTGAGAGTTCATTTCATGAATATGAGAGTGTTTTCAGTAATGTTCATGTTCAGTAATGTACAAAATGTTGACAGAGATGGTAAGTTTGATTCATTGCAATGAATCAGATCAAACTGCACATTTCAGTGAATCAATTCAAAACTGATTCAATGATTCTTTTGCGTCAGGCATGTTCACTGAAGTTCCTGAATGGCATCATAAATGCAGGTAATGATGCATTTAAATAAAATATACATTTTCTTGTGTTCATTTAGTGAAAAACAGTGTGGAAAACCTGCCTATTTAAGTAAAAAAAAATAACAAACTTTAACCAAAAAGGGAAAACTCCATCCTCCAAGTCATTTCAGAACAAATACATACTGTAAATATTGAGATTTATTGATTTTATATAAGATTTTATAAAAGGTTATATCACCCAGCCCTAAATGGCTTTCACAGAGGTTGTGTGAATGTTATATAATGACTATGCACAATCTGTATTTGTTCCGTTTACTGTATTATTAACAAGAGGCAATTTTGACACTTGATAAACAAAGGGCACCCAAAAGAACTCCTAGTGCTCTACGATGAGTTTCAGAATGAGCAGTGTTTACTGGTGTAAAATCACAGGCAACACTTTCATTCAAAGTATTAAAGTTTCAATTTACCTTTATTGATAACTTGGCAAGCTAAGGGACAGCAAAGAGATGGCTCATAATTGGTCAAAAAGGCAATTTCTTATGAAAGCACCAAATAAAACTAGTGCAATGTATCTACGTCTACTGATGATGACATAATAACTCCAGCCCACCGGGCAAAAAGACGTTAAATGTACTTTGTACTTTTAATATTTAACAGTTCATTTAATGTGAAATATTAATTATATCATTAAATCACTCATTCTCCAGCATTGAGTTTATGGTGTCTGCAAATTAATAGATGGAAAGAAAAAAAAGGAATGGATACGTCTGCTAGCTGATGTCTTTCGCCCGGAAGGCACTGAATGACAAATGAGATGGAAAAGGGTTTGCGGCTTTCAAATGAGAAAAAGAGGACTTTACTTTTCTTCAGAAAAGCATTCCATCTAATGCTTGGTTTCTCTTAGAATGGACATGCTTTGTAACATGGGGCCTACAAGCTTTTTTCAACATCATTTTCGTTATTCAGCATAATGCCGCTGTTAGCATATGTGGAAACACCATTCTCCTCTGTGTTTCATAAGATATCAGAGTGTTTTTGTTTAAAAGCCATTACAAAAAATGACAACAATAAAAGAATCAGGGCTGTCAATCACACTGTTAAAGTGCGATTAATTAGAGTATTAAAATGTAACATTAATTTCTAAATCCAGTTGTCATATCTCAAATCGAAGCTTTCACAATAATGTAATGTCTTTGAATTATTGAAATGTTTCTGATAAAATATTTACACATACATTTACTGCAATTTATTTGATTAACAAATCCGCATACCACGTATGTAATTCAATTAATATTTTTATTCTACAGACAGCCCTAAAAACACATATTTTTTCATCATGTGAAACACAGACTCTAGACAAAATGCATTTTGTCTTATGGTCATGTGAACATAAAGTGCAAACAGAATCTGACGTTGAAAAACTGCGTATTGTCCTTTCAATACTGGTTTAGGTCCATTCCATATTGCTGAGCTTAAACAAATCCAAAGTGATTCTATTTGTTTGAAAATACACAAATAAATCTACATTTTTTTTTCAGGTTGGATTGGTGAGAATGGGGGAGAGATACTAAATATATGTATATATATATATACATATATTGCACAATATGTATGTGCAATACAGGATAATGCAGAATCTAGTCCTAGGAAACAGGGGCAAAAGGTCAACTGAACAGTCTTTTCAGTAAGAAGAGGTTTGTTAGTAGTGCAACCGGAAGGCCTATAGCACCTATAGAGAGCTAAAAGGCAGTCAGGTGGTTTTCTGGCAAGAATGAAGGGTGCTAAAGGCAAAAGAAGGGTCTTTCTCCCACGTCGAGATAATTTGAGATGGTGAGAGGGTGTCTTTTCATGAAGAGCACATTTGAAAGAACGTTCTGGTACTTACACATTAAAACCTGATTTCCCATTTACTTGCTTTTAATACATCAAGCCTTTCTAACACATGCAACACACATCTATGTCTCCCTCTCCTTCAAAGACTGGAGTTTTTTCTTTAAAACCAGACTGACAAAACATTTTTTAAAGCTAATCCAAATTAGAATTTGATGTTTTTTTTTTTTTTTAAAAGCTATTGTGATTTATGATTTTCTTGGCCTTAAATGCACAGTCCGTGAAGAATAGGCAGACACAAATGTGTGTCTGATAGAAGCAGCTGGATGGATTAAAACATTGAATTGATGAATAAAGAATATCCTAAAAAGGGCAGATTTGAGTTTTTGAGGGGCCTCTCGTTCATACAAGAGGGGTACGAAGCATTTGAACGACGTTAGGGGAGGACGGGGTGATTTTGTCTCCTGCCCATTACAGACTTACTCTGCACCGAGGAGTGGGGCGCCTGCTTGGGCTCGGAGTTTTGCGGGCGGCCCGCGGGTTGCCAGATTGAATTAATGCTGAGGTTTCCAAAGCGCCTGGCTGTACATTGAACCAATGAGAGGAAGAAACAACAGGAGCAGGACAAACGAAAAAGAAGACATTTCAAATAGCACACTCGACAAGAAATACTGAAACAGACACCCTTATGCGGGGAAACGAACGAAGGATGAAAGGGAGGGGAGAATGGCAGCAACGGGCAGTACAAATTCGGTGGGGAAAATAAACAAGAAAGAGTGTACATATGACTGAGGACAAGCACAGATGGAAGACATATTGAGGAGGGAAAACAGCAACAAACGGCATGTCTACAGGCAGAGAGAAGCCAAGCTTTACCTTTAATGTCCTCGTCCTCGATGGTTGTGTTGGCACTCTCTGTAGACTCCTGGGGAAATATGAAAGAATACTTGTGAATCACTTTTAGACTGGACACCGGACACAGTCTCATTTATGGTGTTTCTATTTTTGATTTACCACTGCTAACAGGAATGTGTCATATTACCTTGTTTCTGTCCACTGGGTTGTGGATCACGGTAGTTTGTGGCTCCTGAAAGAGTGAAAAGGAGTGAAAAAAAAAGATTTGTATATGAAAAAGAAGCTTGATACAGCATAATGGCATATAATGGCTGAGCACCAGACACAACATGCATGGAACTGCAAATTACTTTGTTTTCAGGCATTAAAGAACAAATATAAAAACAAACTACTAAATAAATCCAACTGGCAAAACAAGGCTATCAGAACAGAGTCTCATTACTCGCATGTGCCTGATAATGCAGTCTGGACCCCCATCTAAAACACACATACAGCCTTCTTCCTCCCATTCATGCTGAAAGTTTTCCATACATATCGCCAGTGCTTTAGCAAACTACACCTCAGAAATAAACCTGAAATATCTAATGCATGTGGATTTGTCCTCTAATAATTTAGAAGTTGACTCATTAGTCATATCCTGATTCTCCGAAATGGCTGCTTTTCCAGTTCGGCTCATGAGAAGAGATGGAATAAAAAATATCCTATTGGTTTGGAGTATAATTGGAACTGGAATAGCTTAAATCTATATTTTAGCAGACATTTTCTTGCCTAAGCAATTTAAAAAGAAGTGCAATCAGAAGTGCAAAAAGAAGTGTGTTCAAAATATATAAAATATATAAACTATATTATCAATATTTCAGTCTTGATAATAAGAAATGTGACCTTGGACCACAAAACCAGTCATAAGGGTCAATTGTATGAAATTGAGATGTATGCATCATCTGCTGATATAAAAGCTGAATAAATAAGCTTTCCATTGATGTATGGTTTGTTAGGATAGGACAATATTTGGCCGAGATACAACTATTTGAATATCTGGAATCTGAGGGTGCAAAAAAATCAAAATACTGCGAAAATCGCCTTTAAAGTTGTCCAAATTAAGTTCTTAGCAATGCATATTACTAATCAAAAATTAAGTTTTGATATATTTACGGTAGGACATTTACAAAATATTTTCAGCACCAAATCAGCATATTAGAATGATTTCTGAAGGATCGTGTGGGATAATACTACTGTTTTTACTGTATTTTGATCAAATAAATGCAGCCTTGATAAGCACAAGAGACTTAATTCAAAACCATAAAAAAATACTTAATTAATAGTAGTAGTAGTCAGTATTGTACGCTCAACATACATACAGTACAGTGCAAATTTTTATGTCAGTGAAAACGACTGACATATATTACTGTATACATATTTTAAAGCTATTGCTTGCAATATATCTGATTGCTGTTTGATTTATGGAAATTATTAAATAAATCACTAGAAATTCTACAGATTTTGGATCAGTTTTCTCTTGTAACAATATATTCTTTCTTTAAAACAAAGAAGCTGTGGATCACTGCTATGAGGTGATCCCTAGGTCACTCACACACACACACTGACAGATGTAATTAATCAGCCTGGTGGTCTTTGAGCAGGACTGAGCGGAATTGATGATGTCTTGTCTAATCAACACCAGATTAGAGAAGATTACATACAGACACTTGTCATCTAAGAAGCATCACTCTCTGAGTGTGCATTTGTGTCAAAGAGAGAGAGAGAAACGGTCTATGTGTGTCAGTACGAGTGCGTCATAGTGTCGTCAGTCTGAGAGACATTTGTTCACGTGCATGTCTGCGTCATTATGGAAGGCAAACAATGTCAAGCTACACACAGCAATGAGCTCCAAGCATACGACCCTATCAAAGCAATGCTAACACAAGCCAGGCACTTCAAAACATTCACTCCAAGTACTTGAATTATGCATCTATCAGAGAAAGACACTCTTATTTGACAAGATTTAGATTTAAACAAATGGGATATGCAAATATGCAAAAATAGTACACTAATGGCAATACACCATGACTGTGCAAGCAAAACCACAAGCATTATATGGATTTTGAGCTTGAAATGGCATAAAACTATATCATTACAAAACATCAAGTAACAGCAGTCGCTTTTGATGTTTCAAAGACAATTTGATTGAATACAACCCTAAATTTCCAGGAGCTAAGAGTTCAATAGAAAAACAACACATGTATAACATAAAGGTGACATGAGAGGTGAGTAAAATCATGCAAGGTCTTTGACCTTTGGGTAGACGACACTCCAACAGTGCCAGATTGACAAACCCTTGGTTTTCCTTGCATATATTGTCTTTTATTTTTGCTTGATATGAAAATATGGAGTTAACAAGGCCTTATCCTGTTTTATATACCTTAAAAATACTGTACATAGTTTAAGACCTAAAAGTGATGCATTTGATTATTAGCACTAGCATGATAGCCAATCAAGACAAACAATGTGAAAGCTGTTCCAAAATTTTGGACACAACATTAGGCAAAATCCTAAGGCAACATCATATCCTTTTCAGATAAACCAATCTCAGAATTCCAAGTAACGTTGACTAAAATATATGTATGTACTGAAACATTAAATATAGTACAATCTAATCTCAAATTTCACTATTTCACCCAATGTCACAATCCATCCCAGACTTCTGTTACTCTATCAAGGACTTCATTCCCCATAATCTTCTGCCCGGTCTCATCAGCACTCATTGTTTGCACCTGTGTCTCATTATCTTGGTTAACTCACCCTATAAGCCCGGTTCTCACTGTTTGCTAAGTTTTGTATGTGTCTTTACTGCATTTCTAAGCCTTGTATCCTGGTTCTCCTGTATCTTGGTTCCTGGTCTTGTAATTCTGCCTGTTTTCTGGATTACTCTGTTTGCCTCAGCCCCTTACTCTGTTGCTGTTTTGGATTGCCTATTTGTGTATGACCTTTGCCTGCCTTTGGATTACCCCTTCAATAAACTACTGCATTTGGATCCTCTACCATGTCTCTGAGCAGTTCATGACAGAAGACTTAGCCAACATGGATCCAGCAGTAAGAATCATCCGTCTGAGTCAAGGTAATCGATCCCTCGAGGACCACATCCAGGACTTTCTAAACATTGCTAACCAAAGTCTCCAGGCGTCATGGACATTTTGCCAGTCTTCAGTCATCATGGACACCACGCCAGTGTTTCCGGCCGTCATGAACATTGCTCTTGAAGCAAGTAAGGCTGATTTCCAGTGTGGACCCACTGCTGATTTCAGTGTAAGCGGCAGGCATCTCAGTGACCTCGGTGCTCTCAAGCCCAGCCCTTCCAGTAATGGCGGTTGCCATTTTGTGTGTCTGGGCTATACACACTTCTGAGGCGGCAGCGTCTACTCCAGTCCACGAGTATGGTCTAGAGCAGTGGTCACCAACCTTTTTAGGCCCAAGATCCCTGACCTTGGCCTTTATGAAAGACAAGATCTACCTATTGAAGAATTGATAGAAAAAGACATCCCAGATTGTACTTCAAATTTGAGGCCTTTTACTTAGTATTTTAATTAGTGATGCGCCGATCATAGCTGATTCAGAATTCAGATTTTCTTTTCTTTCTTTCTTTTTTTTTTTTTTAACTAGCAAAGTGGATTCTGATACTGATTTTTAAGCAAATTTATTTATTTGCTTTATAACAAACAAACTGGCTTTAAACAAAAATATCTAGCCATTTGAAATTAGAGGCAACCACTGCATTTTAATCATGATCTGCACGGGCAGTTGTTTTTTATTTGATCGTTTTTCGGCGGGGATCTTCCAGTAAAATTCACATTCAAGGGACTAAATATCACATTATTGGGGTCGCCTATACCCGCGGACATGAACAACAACCCGGCAACAGTGTTAAAGTAGCCCAATTCTGCGGGAAAACCGCGGACTTGGCAACACTGCTTATGAACCGACCGC